TTTATACAAATGTTTGGGGTTTTTTTTGTTTTATTAGGGAGGAAGTCAATTACTGCACATGTGATTTTGCCTTCTTAGTTTGCAAACTCTACTCTTGCAGCAATTAAACTGAACTGTACTATCCTGTATTTCAGAAGCAATATGCAGCAGCAATGTTTTTAGAATGGAAACAGACATATAAATCGTCCCAGCCACATTCTCCTGCCTTGCTTGTAATTGATGCAAGTCATGAAGATGTTTAAGAAAGCACTGCTTTTATCATTCTTTTTTACTAATTTGGATGTGTGTTTGTGTGTGTGTGTGTGTGTGTGTGATGTATGTATGTATGTATGTATGCACATATGAATGATTTGGTTTAAGCAGTAGTTAGTTAGAAACCACATTTCTTAATCACTGACAGATACCTCATGGAAACCTTTATTTCTAGCATGGGTTAATGTTTTGGGACATTCGGTGGTGAAGAAAGGTTACGGAAGACTCTGACCTGGAATGCTATAACCTCTGGCCCGCCTTTCAGCCCTTCCATTGCAAAGGTCTCCAGGTGCAGCTTAGGCAGCTGCAGGGCGAAGTCATTCCTGCTTGCTGTAGTCCATGACAGCGAGATCTGATCTCTGACCTAAAAGGGAAAAAACAGTATCAATGGTAATTCCCCTTCAGACACATTAACTGGGATGAAGTGGGTCCCCTTGAGTCCACTGAGTGGACTTGCATTGATCGCTGGACCTGAAATCCATGAATAAATTTAGGACTAATTGATTTTTCGTTGCAAATAAATCTCTAATTCAGAGTGCTGGGAGAGAATGTTAAGAAGAAAAAGCTTCCTCCTCTCTAGGTTGAAATGAGATAGGAAAGAAAAGTCACTTAAGGCTCCCCGTTCAAGTGGGGCAGCAAGCAACTCTATGTGGAATGTACGGGGTCTAGATTTAAGACATTCAGATGCACAATAAGATGCACACCGTCACCACATTAATTTCAGCAAACACGCCACCAGCGAGCATCTTTTTTTTTTAAAGCTCTCATATTCACATAAATATCGTACTCTCATCAAAGAAAATACTTTTAAGTTAATGAAGGTGTGATGTGGCAAAATTAGATTAGATAATGGAAATATTTTTAAGACTTCAGCTGCAGAACAGCTAATAAGAAGTGGTCATAAGTGCCTGTAGAAACACTAAGTTCAAATATCAAGTATTTTAACAGTAGTAAGGACTACACAAGCAAATAAATGGGAACAAAAAGAAAACACATAATTTTTCCAATGCCAAGTAATTGGGCTTTAAAATATTTCGATGTTTAAGAAACAACAAAATGCAGAGCACCATAAATGAGAGAGATCCGTGTACTTGTGTGGACAACTACAATCTTATGCAATTGGTATTGTACTGCCACCTTCTGTTAAGGTGTGCAATACCTTCACTCATCTATAAAAATACAATGGGCAACATTTAGAGTTTTTGATTGTTAGTTTCTGTTTATACAAGATCAGATTCTAGACATAGATACTACAGAATGAGCCTATTAGGTAGGGGGCCTTCAGCTGAATATCACAGTAGATCTTCTCTTCCAGTAATACCAGAAAAATATCCACACACATATTTAACTCTGCTCATCTCCAGTAGTCACAAGCATTTATTTCTACTTGTAAGTAACAAGTGTCAGTATTACATGTGAATTCTAAACTATAAATTAGGTTAAACAGGTTATCTCAACATTTAAAACAACAACAACAACCCAGCAT